CAGCCCATGCCTGCCCTACTGTGTGAGGTAAATATGGGCTGCTGTTTTTATTATTCACTTATTTATTGGTGGAACTGGGGCTTGAACTCAGGGTTTCACACTTGCAAAGCAGGTGCTCTACTACTTGAGCCACTCCACCAGTCCGTTTTACTCTGGTTAATTTGGAGATGGGGTCTCACAGACTTTTTTCCCAGACTGGCCTCAAATCAAAATCCTCCCAATCCTGGCTTCTCAAGTAGCCAGGATTACAGGTGTGAGTCACCAGGACCCAGCTTGGATCCTGTTTTTCCCCACAACTCTAGACTCTGCAACAGAAATGTCTCCCGGTGAGGCTCTGTGTTTTCTAATTCCCCAGGCCACGTGAGCTTTTGTCATCTAGCCTATCCCAGGACAGTGGCACTGGAGGGAATTCTCGTGTTAAAACAGCCTGGCCTGGAGTTGCTGGTCAGACTGTCAGAGTTCGTCCTTCCACTAGAAGAATAATGGCTGGCTTCCCTCCGGTCGGCCAGACAGTTCCCTTCTGCCTGCTCGGGTGGTGGGGGCCAGGTTGGCTGCCAGCCGTGCTCCTGGCTCCCCACCGTCCGTGCATTCCAGCTTCTCCAGGCCTCTGCAAATCTCGCCTCTTCCTTTGCCTCCAGTGACTGCTCACCCTCCCTCTGCCAGCAAGGACTCCAATCCAAGCTCCTGGGAAACCAGCAAGCTCCACGTTCCCCAGGGAGTGTGCCAGGGAACCCCGGTCCTGCCCAGGATTGTGCTGTGACAGAAAACTGGACACCCTCGCCCTGCTTCCAGACCCTCCTCAGTTAATCCCAGGTCCATTTCCCAAATACAAGTCAGGCACCGGTGGCTCACGCCTGTAATCCCAGCTACTCAGGAGGCAGAGATCAGGAGGATTACTGTTTGAAGCCACCCCGGGGAAATGGTTTGTGAGACCCTATCTCAAAAAACCCGTCACAAACAAGGGCTGGTGGACTGGCTCAAGGTGAAGGCCCTGAGTTCAAGCCCCAGTGCCCCCCTAAAAAGCAAAATTTCTCAAGCACATCTTGAATGTGAATTGTTTTCTTCTTCTTCTTTTTTTCTTGGTATATTGGGGCTTGAACTCAGGACCTTGCACTCTGCTGGGCAGGTTCTCTACCCCTTGATCCATGCCCCCAGCCCTTTTCTTTAGTTATTTTTCAGATACAGTCTTGTGCTTTTCCTCCCAAAGCCTGCCTGGATCTTGATCCTCCTACCTACACCTCTAGCAGAGCTGGGATTGCAGACATAAACCACCATGCCTGGCTTATTGGTTGAGATACTTTTTTTGCCTAGGCTGGCCTCAAACCACAATCCTCCTGATATCTGTCTCCCAAGGAGCTGGGATTACAGGCATGAGCCACCTCGCCCAGTTTGTGCAATGCTTTTCTTAGGAAATAAGGCTTTTTGAAAGAAGCCAAGTCCTAGAGCACCGTGGAAAGCAGGTGAAAGAGGCAGAGAAGGAAGCGGGGAGATGGGAGGCTTGACCCGGCTGGAAGGTGAACCAGGGCACGCAGAGCTTAGAACAGAGGGTCATGAAGCTGCTGGAAGCTTCCTACAAATGCATGCAATGTTGGTTTTGCATTTTATAAAGATCAGTTCTCATTTCATGAAGGACTCACTAGCTGGTTTTCCCTCTTCCTTTGTCATCTGATTGGCTACACGCGTGACAACGTGTCATAGGACAGCTCTGTTACACGCGTTGGTCCCTGGCGTCTTTTAACACTCTGTTAACAATCTAGACAAAGATGGGGACTGAAATTCACATCCTCTGAAGACAAGTGTGTGGAGGCCTCCTCTCCTCCCCGTGTGTGCGGTGGATGAAGGAAAAAGTCTACTTTGAGGTAAGCAGAAGTGGCTGTTCCTTGGGGTTTGGTGTTTGTTTTCTCATTCGCTCTTTCACTCATTCATTCATAGATTTGTTTTCCTACAGAGCTGTTCACTAAGGAGGGAGTGGAGGTGGAAGCAAGGCTTGGGGCAGTTCCTCTCACTGGGACCCTCCTTGGCACAATGGGGACACAGCCTCTGATCCAATGTGCTTGTTGATTGCCCTGCACTGAGCGGACCGGACCGTTCTCCACCATGAGGAGGCGGGGAGGCCCAGGACGCTGAGGAGATTTACGGCTGAGCACAGTCAAAAGTGTCACCTAAAGCTGGAGGGGCCCCCTGCTCCTGCACTGTTGTCTCAGGAATGCCTGGGTGTCCCTCTGCGGAGTCCCCTGTGGTTGACCCCCAAGGGGGAGGCCTGTGTTGACATTCTCCTCCTTTCTTCCCCCAAAGATCCCCACTGTCTCCTTCTCTCCCCTAGCCGCCATCTGCTCTCCTCTGGGGTCTTCTTCCCATAGGACGCCTACAGACTGGAGCTCCAAGTCCTCGCTCACCTCCTCCTGGCCGTCTGACACAAGGGATCTTGTCTTTTGGGTTCAAGGACCTCACTGCTAAACTCCCACAGGGACAGAAAGTGACACGAGGGCCAGCAGGGCTTACAGGACAATCCAGAACCTCGCTTTTCTAGCTCCTCCCCTGGTCTGTCAGGGGACCCTACTTCCTGCTCGGAATGTCTCCGAGCCTGCCCATCTCCCCCCACCCCCTCCAGATTGGGTGTTCCTCTTCCTGTCCGAAGGTCTGAAGGCAAAATTAATAGTTAAACAATTAATGAGTCAGTCACCATTCAAGCATTTAGTCTGAAGAGGTCAGGGAATTCCAGAGGAATGACTGTCTTCAGGGGTCCCCTTCACTGCCTAGGAGCTAAAATGCTCGGGCTCCCCCTCAAAGTCACACATGTACCCCATCTTAAGAGTGCTGGAAGAAAACCGAAGTGCGGTCCACACTCACCTTCAGAAAGTCACCCTCAGAGCACAGAATGTCTCCAGCTGCCATCTGGGAAGTCTAGGATATGCTGCCTGCCGTGTTGGCAAGTGTGAGTTCAAAGCTTCCTTCCAGAAGAAAAAGACGCTGTCCTCTGAGAGAGGAAAAGCTGCCCAGTCCCCATTTGGCCACCAAACCCACTTTTTTGGGGGAGAGGGGGACTTGGGTTTGAACTCAGGGCTTCACATTTAAACAAAGCTCTACGGCTTGAGCCACACCTCCAGTCCATTTTGCTCAGGTTATTTTGGAGACAGGGGGTCTCGAGAAACATTTTTCTGAGCTAGCCTCAAATAAAGATCCTCTAGATGTCAAGTAGCTAGGATTACAGGTGTGACCATCGGTGTCGGCTCCAACCCCGCTTTTCTATTCCTACTCTTGGGCAATGCAAGGCTCCCTGTCAGAAGCAGGTGGGCTGAGTCACCTGTTGGAGAACAATGGCCAGCAAAGTGGTGACACACTCACCTGCTGGTGGTGGGAACCCAACTGGTCACATATTCCTCCCCCTGCTTATTTGTATATCCGAGTCTTCTTCCAAAAGGGGAAAAAAATATAATACTGAATGTTCTTCAGAAGAAAGTCCCTCCCATCTCACACACGCTGCCATTCCACTGTTCATACTGAAAAGATGGCCTGGCTTGCTCATTTCCGGAAGGGAAAATCTCTTAGAGACCTCTGGGATTTGGTGACAGACAGTGGTCTTGATCTAAAACCTTAGCTCATCCTCTCATGTTGGGATGACCTTCAGAAGTTCCCTTGGTCACTTTGAGCAGCGAGTCCTTGTCTGTGGGAGGTGTGACACCTTCTTCACTGTGCTGAGGAGTGTCCTAAGGACACTGGGCCCTTAGCATTTGCTCAACACTTCTTGTTTCTTCCTCCTTCCTCACTCGGGCCCTGAGATCTCTAAGTGTCCTTCTGGGGTGACCAGGTCACATCTCGCAGCCTCTGTAGGGGGACCTCAGTGTGCATTCAGCCTGGTGTTTCTGAGGACCTCCCCACAACTTCCCTGGGAGAGAGTGGCTATCCACAATGTAGGACAGGTGTCACCATGATTCTCTGCCACTAGCTTTTCACTTAGCAGAAATTTGACTCCCTGACAAAGTGTCCCTATTAGTCTTTCTTCTCATCTCTAGGTGCTCTGTGAAGAGCGGCAGCCTCCCTGCTCTACCCCTTCAACCCCAGTAGGGCACCAGGTAGGGCTGTGGAACACACCAAGCCCAAGCCGGAGCTGGCTGTGGTGGAGGCCTCCCTCTCTGCTTAGCACCATAACTCAAATCGCCAGCGCTCTCTCGGAGCGCTCTGCAACCTTTGCCTCTGCCTCCCAGAGAATTGTCCTGTCCTTCCCCTCCCCCTCTGCCAATGCCCCCCTGCTGATCGCCTAGAATTTGTGCACCTGAAGGTTTCCATTCCATGGGAACAAGGAGCTGGACACATTGATCAGAGCTAATTCCATGATGTAGGCAAAAGCCCAGAACTCAGTTGAGTAACAAGGGAAGAAATGCAGCCAGCAGGCATTAAAAGAAACATGGACTCTAGCCTTTCAAAAACTTCAGGTCAGAGCTCCATTTCCAATTACACCATCAAACCGCTTTCTCGGTGGGGAAAGCAGAGGCTCTGTGACTTCCAGCACAAAGGACCAGAGACCACAGCAAGCACTCGCTCGAGACATGACTTGAGCCAGGACGTAACTGGATTACCCCAGACTGATGAGGAATGGGACATGTCTTCATCCGGGGAGGGCCCTGTCACAGTGGGGCAGTCCTGTGACGCTGATCTCCCCAGCCTCCCTTCGATCCCACAGTGCGAGTGTCTTGTCAGGGCTGGTGGATTATTAACAGAGGTTATTGGTCGCCATGGCAAACAATTGATCTTGCACTGAACGTAATCTCATTTAAGGGGTGCAAAAAAAAAAAAAGACTTGGGGGCAGGGAGGATGTATAAATTGCCCAGCGCTGTCAGGGACCGCTCCAGTCTGGAAGCCTAGGAAGCACAGAGATCAGAGGTTGGCTTTGTGGTCCCAGGAGCTGCTCAGCAATTGGGGACGATCACTGGGACACTTTGGCCAAACGCCCTGGAAGGGCGGTGAAAAGCTTTGATCTCAGAGCCTGTGCCACCCCAGCATGTGCACCGGGAGCTGTGCCAAGTGCCTGGGGGGCACCCTCATCCCCCTGGCTGTGCTCGGCTTCCTGGCCAACATCCTCTTGTTTTTCCCTGGGGGGAAGGTGATAAACAACAATAACAACCTGTCGGATGAGGTCTGGTACTTCGGAGGCATTATAGGAAGTGGAGTCCTGGTAAGTACGGCAACCTTGGGAGCCCTAGCGACACTCTCCTCAAATGGGGTGCTTATGGACAGGGACATGTTCAGAAGCCGCCAGGCGCCCCAGCACTGCAGGATGAAAATTAGTGCCTCAGTTTCCCTCCCCAAGCCGGGGCTGGTAGTACTTACGGGACATTGGGTCCCGAAATCATTGCTTCCTTGCAACAAGACAGTGTTTTGGTCCTTAAAAGACCAAAGTCGGTGCTTTCTGGCAAATGCGTTGACTTAGAGCCACCAGGAGACGCAGATGCGCCCTACTAGGTTCTTGTTGCCCATACAGTTGGAAACCGCTTGGGTGGGGTGGGCAGGCGGCTCACTGTCTAGGACGATCGGGGGCTAGTTCCTTATCTGTGTCCTAAGCCACCATCTAAATGGAAATCCAGGTGCCTCATTCAAGCTCCAAATGGAGCCTCAACACTCAATAGGGCCGCGCTGGCTGTTAGCACCTGCCGCCCCCTCGAGCCGCCGGGCGGGATGTGGGAAGGGGCTCCCTGTCGCAGCTGCAGCCCCTCTGAGCACATCTGTCCTGCAGATGATATTCCCCGCGCTGGTCTTCTTGGGCCTGAAGAACAATGACTGCTGTGGCTGCTGCGGCAATGAGGGCTGCGGGAAGCGGTTTGCGGTAAGTCGTCCCCAAACCGGGCAGCTGCTGGAGTCTCCCAGGGTGCCCCGTCTGCTCGTGCTGCACAGTGTGGGGTGGGGACAAGTGACCAGCCCCCGCCGAGATCCTGGGAGTAGCTGGTGCAGGGACGAGGCTGTGTGTCATCCTTCCTGCTTTGGCGAAACGGGAAGGACAAGAGGCGTGTCGTAGAGAGAGGCTGCCGTGTGAGGTTCTGCAAGCTGCACCACCCTAGAAAATGGTGGTGATGTGCAGAGACACTCAAAGCCCGCAGGCTGGGGAGGTAGGGAGGGGCTGCAGCACTCTGTTTGCCACTGAGGGGCCAAGAGCCCTTGGGGAGTCAGCCTCCCCCAGCGTGCCATTGCCTCATCTCGAAAGGGGTGGGATGAGATGACCACTCCCGTCCCTGCCGGCTCCCTAAGTTCCCATGTCCACCAGTGCCAGGCCCACTGCCTCGGGAGCCCAGCACCCCACTCCCACCCGGGTTCTGCCTCAGCACTGCTGTCTCCTTTTTTCACTCAGCCACACATCTAGTGGGTGAGCTAGAGATCAGGGGGGCACCATGTTCCAGGGAGAGGGGAAAGAATGTGGGGACACGGGGTCATGGTCCATTCCTGCAGCTGGGCAGGTCACCGCCCAGCTTCTCTGCTCCTCTGTGCAGTGAAGATGGTGGGCTGGATGAGAACTCCCCGCGTGTGGAGCAGTCTGGTGGCACAGACACCCTACGTCTTTAAACAGTGCTCAGCTCTCCTCAGTCCTTTTTGATTCTGTCAAGGAGGAAAGACTTCTTGTGGTGGAATGAAGTCTTTGCTGTCTCTGGCTCTTCAAAAAACCTCCCCTTTTACCAAAGGAAGGACTAGTGTCAGGCCCCAGGAATGCAGGAGGCACTGTGGAACTAAAAGTTCCCAGGACTGTGTTAATGTTTGCCCACAATCTACTTTTTCTTTCATAATGGTGATAGAAGTGAGTACATAGAGCACAGGCTTGTGGAAAGCTGTGAAGGTTTCAGAGACATTCATTGATTGACAAATGGACCTGGGCTTACTGGGCAGACTGGTGAGGAAAGCCGGCTCCTTCTCCAGCCTCCACTGCTTTCCATTAAGGAGACTCGTGAAGTTCTTAATGGTGTACCTAATCCATTCTGAGACAGAATCACTTCAGCGTTTCTCTCTCGTCATTCTTTGCCCCATTTATTCTGGAAAAAGATAAGTCGTGAGGACCGAGGACCGTGCCGTCCTCAGCTACAGGTTTCAGTAGGCGATCATAGATCACAGATCATCCAAACCGAGGTTTACCTTCTGAACATCCTCAGGAGTCCCAAAGGAGCAATGGCACCCACTGTTAGTCAACATTTAACATCAGCACTTACAAAGAGTGTAAAAATAGCCACCAGGTATTTGATGTGGTCAGGTAGTACATGGGTATTCCACAGATGATATTTCCAGAGGATTAATTATCAAGAAAGGAAAAAACAGATCATTCACTTCTCCTGGAAATATATTCCATTATAATGTGGGAACTTTTGGAGGATTAATTAGAGATGAGAATTTGGAAAAAAAAAATTAGCAAAGGAGTTTGGATGAAAAGAAAGAAAATCACGGTTTAGAAATCTAGCCACTCACCCCTGGTGCTGACAGAAGGCTGAGGGCAGCCCAGGCAAAGCCAAGGGTGTTTGCTTGCTTGTTTGGTTGGTTGATTTTAGGGTTGTTTTTTTTTTTAACAATCACAGTGAGACGTGAAATTCAAAGGATAATGCAAAATTTACCTTTTTACCTTTTTAACATTAGATTTAACTGAGGTGAAGAGGAAGCAGAAAAGTCACGTTTTTCCAAGTGCAATTGAATCAGTAAGAGGTGGAAGTTTTGGTCTAGCTGGCGCTCATCCTCGGCCAGGGCTCCCTGACCTCTGCGGGGGATTGAGGGTGACAGCTCCCAGTGACTGGGCAGTGTCCATCAAAAGACCAACTTTGCCAGGCTGTTAACCAAGGTACCCAGCCATGTGCCCTGGACCACAGTCATCCAGGCAGCACAAAGATTTCTGTTCTTTGTGTTTTCACCAACTGCCAACTTCTAAATTGAGAGACAGCACAAAAAAGTATCTGGATATCTGGCTTTTTTTTCAAAAGATGAAAAAATTGCCTTGACACCTCTGTGCCCACACTTTGGCACAACAGCGGCCCAGCCTGTGATGGGCAGGGCTGCGCTCAGGGTCACACTTGCTGCCCCTCTGTGAGGGACCCTGCTGCTCCCGCGAGGCTCTAACACTGTTCTTCTTGGAGTTCACACGTTCCAGGGCGCCAGGCAGACACCTTGCCAGGCAAAAAGAAAAGGCTTCGGTGTGAGTTGTTCGGTATGGGAACACCAAAGCCCTGGACAACTATTTCAAAGGCACAGGACATCCCTCCGGAGCTCAGAGGGCAGGGGAGCACCCCAAAGCCCACCGCAGGAGGTGGGCCTGCTGCCTTCCTCTCTAGAGCTTGCTTCTTGCTCCCTTCCCTCCCCACCCCGCTCCCGCTCCCTCTCCCGACTTTGTGGTGGCAGCTGCACCACTCGGCAGTGAAAGCAGGATGTGGGAGCTGGAGAAGGAGGGTGTGTTTTTAGGCAAGCGGCTGGCCGGGAAGAACCCATCTTCCCAAGGCACTTCTGAGCAAATGGAGGCCGCCGGCCTGTGAGGCGAGTGAGAGTGCAGCTCGCAGCAGATCTGCTCCTTTCAGGAGCCGGGCAGGGCATCCTGAGGGCACAGACTGTGAGAATGGAGGACGTTGGCTGTGAAGGCCAGGCCTGGGCTGTTTGCAGGGGCACCCCCTTCCTCCCAGGCCTGGCCTTCTCCTGCCCTCTAAGCCTTCAAACAGTTGATCCTTTGGGCCCAAAAGGACAGCTCATTAGTTTTATCAGCTTTAATAGGGTCTTGTGCAGATCTCGGACCTGACTCAAAGCAGTGTCTTTGTAACGGGAGGGGAGGTCGAGCCCTTGGAGGCAGGCTGGCATGTCAGCGACCACAGACCATAGCAGGTGGCTAAGATCCCCGCAGCCCCAGGCAGGGCAGGGCGGGGCACTGACGCCCGTCCAGCAGGAAGCTCTGGGTCCTGCAGTCAGCTGTCCTCCTTGCCCAGCTCAGCAGCACCCCCTAGGGACGCCTCCTGGGGAGCACTTCTGGGGACGGACAAAAGCATTCATTTCCTCCTCTAGGACTTTATTCCTTGGAATGACAGCAGCTGAAGAAAGGCAGTTCTTTTGAAAGCTAGCTTGTCTTGGGAAGGGACTGAAGTATGGAACAGTGTTTCTTCACTATTCTTTAAAGTCTTTTGGTGTTGGCTGGGGTGTGGCTTGGTGGTGGAGGGTTTGCCTAGCATGCTAAGGCCCGGATCCATCCCCAGCACTACAAAAGATAAAAATACAAGGATAAAATAAAGTCCTCTGCTGGGAAATGGGCCAGGGGAATTGCTGCCTCTCATGAGAACTTTGCGAGGATCACGGAAGGACTGGTGGGAAGGCTGCCAAGGGATGGACTAGCACCTGATGGCAGGGCCTGCCCCTCCCAGTTCCACCACAGGAGAATTCACTATCTTTATTTCCCTCCCTGGAATTTTGCTCCTTGTTTGTCGAAGGCAAGAGTGAGAGTGGGTATGATCTAAAAACATGTCATTGACATTTATTGAGTGCTTGTTAATGTCATGGGGAATTATCCAAACCTTGGGAATAGGCGAAAGAGATTTCTGGTGTGGTGTCAGTGACATACTAGGCCATGACCTAATAGACCCCCCCAGCATGGGTAGAGGTGATACTGGATTTCTAGAGGCCACACCTATGACTCCTGGTCACTATTGAGCAGGTGCTCTGTCAGGCAGGTAGTTATGGAGGAGGAAGAGGGAGCAGAGACAGGAAGTCACTTCCCTAGGTGGTGAGGGAGGAGCCAAGACTCAGACCCAGCTCCATCTACCCAGAACCTGTGCCCTTGACCACAACACCATGGTGTCCCTCCTTGCAACTGGCAAAGCATGGCCGTGGTTCAGAAGCGTAAGGAAAGCTCCCATCCCAACTCCAAAGTCTTGTCTCTACTGCCCAGCGGTGACCGGGTCCTGACACACCCACGGCCTCCTGCCACTTTGAGTAATACCGAGTGTCTAAAGGGTTCTGTAAGGTTTTTAACTTGATCTCAGTAACTTTTCTTTTAACATAGGAAGTTTTGTGTCATGAAACCCATGATAAATTGTAGTTAATCCATGCTGATTTTTTGTGAGTTTTTGTTTTTTATTGTTTCTTATTTTTTCTGCTGATCTTAAGACTTATTATATCCCCACAAGTGAATCTGGCCATGTTTTCAGACTTCTGCATGTGAAATAACTTCGTGTGATTGATCCATTCTGAAAAGTTTTGAAAGTCAGTTTAGTTTAGGGCACTCCTTTTATTTTAAGGTGCGATATTTCAAATTTGAATTTGAAACTAGAATATGCCACTTGTAACTATGACATCACAATCAAATGGCATATTTCTTCAGATATGTCTTTTTATAATTCTTGGTGGCACTGGGGTTTGAACTCAGGGCCTCACGCTAGCTAGGTGGATGCTCTCCCACTTGAGCCACTCGGCCAGCCCCAGATATGTCTTAATATAGAAAGAAAACATCTTTGATTCCATTGATGGTCCCATGTTCTTCCTACCACACCTCTGCTCTCCACCGCCAACCGGCCAGGGGTTCAGTGCACACCATGTCCGTGCATTTTTAAATTTTCTGCTGCCCAAAACACCTTCCCAAGTGGTCTGTCCTGTGCTGTTTAAGACAGCGCTGGGATCCACAGGTCGTGACCTCAGTTTGTGAGTGTGGCTAGTCTACACTGACAGGTGCTGCACAACACAGACTGGATTTCATAGTCAGTGCAGAAGAAATTCTTGAAATATTCAGAAATGTTTATATCTTTGCCCGTGGCAGTGATAATGTGGTGGATGTGTTGAAGCAAAAGACGTCATTAAAATTAATTTCTCCTACTTCTTGTTCCTTTTTTAAGTGGTGGTGACTAGAACAGCTTGAATTACATGTGGCGGGTGCTGGTGGGGGCTCCCATGGTGGTGCCTTGATCAAGGGACAAACCATCTGATTGGTGTTTTATGTCACTGTGACTTTCCATCTATGCAGACTTGCCTAAATCGAGGATGGTTTTGAACTCACTTTCCATATCACCAGGTACATGCTTGCTAAACTGCTTCAGAGCGATGTCTAAAATCCTTCACTCAGCAGAAGTAGCACAAGTCAGTTTCTCCTCTCACTATTATAAAGAATTTATCCTTAGATGGGTTAAAAGACACCATGGTGTCTTTTACATCAAGCCACACGGAACCCTTCAGTCATCAATGAAGAGATGAAAGGATGGGGACAGGGTGAGGGAAGGAACACGACACACAAACAGCCATTGTGGAGCAGCCCACAGGCCCTGCCTGCTGTCACAGCTGGTCACAGCTGGCTCCTGCCCCGTAACCTCCCGGGGTCACCGTGGCCCAGCAGGCCAGTCAGGCTTGCTGAGCCACCTTGGGTCACCTGAGGAACTCAGAGGTCTCTCTTCTCTTCCAGATGTTCACCTCCACCATATTTGCCGTGATCGGATTCTTGGGCGCTGGTTACTCCTTCGTCATCTCAGCGGTCTCCATCAACAAGGGGCCTAAGTGCCTTACGAGTAATAGTACCTGGAGCTACCCCTTCCAGAGCGGGTGAGTGCCACCCCTCCGTGCTGTGCCACTGCGGGACTGGGGAATGGCCGGGGGAACGCATCCTTTCTTCCTCCTCCTGTCCTCGTGTGCCAGTCTCAGGCCCGTGGCTCCTTTGAGACAGACCTGGTGCTGAGTGGAGAGAAATTGTGTGCTTTCTAATCTCTGATCATTCTGTTGACCGACAGCAGGGAAATAACCGAGGGAGGTGGCTCCATTGGCCTATCAGCAGCCACACAAAGCAACCAAAAATATTAATAGACACATAGTGGCTTCCATTACACCATTGCAATTATTATCACTTTCGTGTTTTGAGTCAGGGCCTCACCGCGTAGCCCAAGCTGGCTTCAAACTCACTATATAGCCAGGCTGGTCTTGAACTCCTGATCCTCTTGCCTCAGACTTCTGAGCGCTGGGATTATAGAGTGCACTCAGCTTACAAATCTCATACTAGAAGATGAGAATGATTCTCACTTGCCATGCTCGAGGGCTATCACCAATACCTGAATTTCCCTATAATTAAGCGATTTTTTTTAAGGTGCAAATTCACTGAAGTGACACTGGAAATAGGGTCGATTCTTCTTCATGAGAGGTAACAGAATTCATCAGAATAGTATTTCATATTTTCATGGCACTTTGTAGGTTTTGGGCTGCTTTTTCTTCACAAATTTGTATGTCTGTAGCAACCGCGAAGACTAGTAACTCTCAGGAAATCTAACTGTCACAAAGTCACACGGTCAGACAGGCTTCTGACGCAGGGTCCTGGTGTCTGCCCTAAGACTGCCCTGCTCAGTGCAGTGGCCCCAGTGGCCAAACCGAAGTGGAAGACAGTGAGAAACTGCTTTCCTCGGTCAGGTGCTGTTCTCAGGTGCGCTCTCACCACAGTGGCTCGTAGCAGGTGCACCGATGGTGGAGGTGAAAGGTTCCCCTCATGGCATCGCTGTAGACCGTCGCTACACGGTGCTGACTGGACCCTCTGCCCCAAGGGCATGGACCACTTCTCGGCCTCACACAATGAGAGGCACATGCTTTGGGGTGGGGGGGGGTCAGGAAATGTGGGTGTTGGGTTTTCCTGCGCATCGAGGACAGGTACCATAGGGTACCAATATTCAGCTGTCCTCGGCGTCCATGGGGGTCACCCCAGGACCTCTGTGGACACCAAAGCCTGCGGAAACTCAAGTTCCTTGTGTACAGTGACACACGTCCTCTGTATGCTTTAAAGAGCTCATGATACCTCACGCATCGTAAGTGCTCTGTAAACAGCTGACATGGTGGCGTTTGGGGAACAATGACAAGGGCAAAAAGCCTCTGCCCAGGTGCCATATGGAGAAGATCTTTGCAACGATTTTTATCCAAGGTTGGTCGGATCGAGCATTCGAACCGACTGCATCACCTTGAACCTTGTGTATTAACTCACGGCGAGGTCCTAATGGACCCCAAGAGCAGGCCTGGGGCGGGGGAGGGGGAGGCAGGCATTCTGAGTGACAGTCTCAGTGCGTTCACAGGCGTCCCCTGGGTTCCACAGCGAGGCAGGACAAGGGCCCCCCCCCGTCCTCATTCAGGGACTCCAGATGTGTGGGGTTCACTGTGGACAGCAGAGGACCATGGAGCTCAGACCCCAGCAGGTTGGCCGACCTTCTCAGAGATTCTTCCCGTAGCTCCTCTCCCCCACCCCAGGGCGCCTGAGGCTGCAGTGTGTCCCCCTCGAGGAACCCTCTGTCACTTCTGTCACTTCCCTCGAGCACGCGTTTCCATGTTTTTCTGTTACGGGGACAATACCACCCTTGAAGAGCCTATGGTCAGTTGGACAAAGCGGTGTCCAAGACAAAGACGGAGGAAGCAAACACGACCGCGCCATGTGTCCCCACGGCTCCGACTGGAGGATGCGGCTCCCTGGCCCGCTCACTCCTGCTTGGGACGGGATGGGACCCGGGTCCAAGGTACCACTCGAAAAGCTGACTTAGGAAAAAGCCAGGAGCGCACTTTGCCAAGTTCTCTGCCCTCGGCTGAGGGAGTGTACATTCCTCCCACGGCCCGGCCTGTGCATCACCCAGGACAATGTTATCTTAGCTCCCCTCAGGGTACGGATTCAGACGGGGGACCTCTCACTAAGTCCCCTTCGCCCCCGGCCCGGGGTCAGCAGCCTTCCACTGTCTCCTTACCCAGCATATACATATAGGCATCACTGGGATTTGAACCCAGGGCCTCATGCTAGCTGAGCAGGTGCTCTGCGGCTTGAGCCACACCTCTGGCTGTTTTTTGCTTTACCCTGATTTTCAGATAGGGCCTCGAGCTTCTACTGGGCTGTGTCGGATTGCAATCCTCCTACCTATACCTCCTGAGTAGCTGGGATTACAGGCAGGAACCACCATGTCTGGCTCCCATCTCCTATCTTAGGAAATCCAAGTTTACATTTCTTTTTTATCTTATCTCCCATTGCTAGCGCTGAGCCTTCCTTCTGACCACAGAGGCTCATCTGGGGTTTCTTATAACAATGATTGAACCTTCTGTTGCATCCACACCGTTTCATTTGACCCTCATAAAGAGCTGGTCGAGTTTTAGCTGTCTATCAGAGGCCAGGGAGCGGAGGCCCAGGGCGAGAAGTGACCGGCTTGGACGAACACGGTTTTAATGATGAGTTTCTGACTCCAAGTCTCAGTGACCACCATGACATCACTCCTGCCTCTGTCTCCACTGGCTTTTCCTACACTGTTGATTCTTCTTACCCAGAGCTGAGCACCACAGCAGCTGTTTTAGCTGCCTGCCTGACAGGGCGCAATCTGCTTAGTGAGGAGAAAGGACAGGTGTTTCTCCCTCCTGTCACCTGATAGCCACAGCGGTAGTTGTTGTGTCTCCTTCTTGTTCTTCCTCCCCCTCCTGTTCTCCTTTTTCTTCTCAATGACAAAGTGCTAAGTGATTTCATGCCTTCCTAATAAACTGAGAAGAATTTTTATCCCTAGACAAGAAAGGAAGATCAAAAAGTTTAAGTGGCTGGGTGTGGTGGTTCACACCTATAATCCCAGCCATTAGGGAGTGCTGAGGCAGAATAACCTCAAGTTCAAGATCCTGTTTCCAAAAATCAAAGGGAGGAAAGTTTAATTTGCCCAGGGCGCCCCTCCTTTTGAAATGCATTTCTTCAACACCTCACTTTGTGCTGACCTCTCTCAAGTAGGGACAAAGCACAGACTGGCAGCGCCCAGTGAGCACAGCGTTAGTGTGTGGTGACCCTGGAGAGAGCCCCGCAATGCAGAGAGAGGCACCCTGGAGGTGGGGGCGAGGAAGACCTCTCAGGTGGTGGCGTGGCCTGGGAGGATGAGCAGAAGTCTGCCTTCGGAGAGGGAGGAGAACGGGCCTCGCCCGGGGTGTCAGGGCACCGTGCGGCCTGGGGCTCAGGGTGGATGTGAGCAGAGGAGCAGAGGGGCTGCTACATGACAGACATGGCCAAGGTCACCGAGAGGCAGGCTGGGACCTCAGGACCCAGGGGACAGCAGAGGATCTCAAGCAGGATGCGACTTGGCCACTTGGGGTTTTGGAATAACGATGACATTAGTGATTGGAGGATGAACACAAGGGCTCATAACAGAGAGAGAGAGATAGAGAGAGAGAGAGAGAGGAGAGAAGAGAGAGGGAGGGGGAGAAGGAAGGAGAAAGAAGGATGGAGGGAGAGACTGCGAGACAGAGACACAGAGAGAGAAAGACAGAGACAGAGAGGCAGAGAGAAAGAAACAGAGTGGGACCATAGAGAGACAGAAAGAGAGAGAGAGAGAGAGAGAGAGAGAGAGAGAAGCATCTCCAAGGCAATGGAATTGAGGCTCCAAGGAAAGAGCTTCAGAGTCATTCAGAAGTCATTGTCCAGAGTTAGGAGTGAGGTGAGGAGAAAGGGGACAGGTCATCATGGTGGATGCTGACCTCCAGCTTGGGGCGCCAAGTCCAGGCTCTTAGATGTGTAGAATTTAGCACTGTTTTACTCAAAAGTGTTTGCTGGGGACAAGATTCAAGGAGTGAGGACAGTTAACTCTTCTGTCGTAAGAACCTCATCAAAGACACATTCAGAAGGGAGCAGACACGTGGAGCATTCGAGATGCCCCTCTTGGATTCCTTTGAGATACAGCCTCTTCCACCCACAGCCTTCCCCCTCTCTTGGAAAACGGGTCACTGGCCCTGACCCTGAGCTGCCGAAAGGGAAGCGGCTTGCACGGGACGTGGGGGACAGGCGTGGGCAGGCAGCAGGAAGAGCCAGGGCCAGCAGCACAGTGTGGGAGGGAAGCAGCCAGGAGAGGAGGCTCCCGTGTCCTAAGCAGGGGCTGAGTGGGGACACCAAGACCCACCACCCCACACTTGCAGAGTCTGCCTGCACCCCCTGACATACGCATATGCACTGGCACTTCAAGTCACTCGTTAGCAAGGAACACACTCCCGAGTGACAGGGTTAGACGATGGCTTTGCCTTTGACCGCAGAGGAGCCAGTCACCCCTCTGCTACACAGCCATGGTTGGCTTTGGGGGATGCCTTCATCTGTGACACAGAAGTGACAATGGGTCTGTCACGAGCTAAGGTGAGAATAAAAGCATCCCGTGCCCATAGGACAGTTTCCTGCCACACACGAGACACATTCAGTCTTATTCCTGACGGTTGACTCTTTGGCGTGGAGGTCATTACTGTGCATTGTTTAAAACAGTTTCGTGACTTCATTTCAATCCTTTGAACCCCACACAAGAAGGCTCAAAGGGAACAATGTCTTTACCATCGACAGATCAACCTGCATGGACAGGCCATCGTGGGTGAATGGTGCAAGCGTCACAGCGAATCGCATTTCAAATGCACCCCGGGGTGACCGTTCAAGTGGAGTTGGGGGAGGGTAGAGCAGGGGCTTTGGAGTCGGACTTGCTACAGGCGTGTGTCATTCTGAGTGAGCAGTTACAAATGCCACTGCAGGCCAGGCGCTGTTCAAAGTCAGCCTCAATCTTTGTAGGGTTAGGAAGGGCAAGGCAAATCCACCTGCCTAGGGCCCAGCCCGAGGTCAGGCCTGCCCCCGGGAAATGACAGCTGCTGTGTTTATTGAGTACCCCCTGTGCAGGACCCAGGGATGGCAATGGGGACATGGCCTCTGTCTTGTGGGTTTACAGTCCCAAGGAGAAGACAAACATATGGACAGATGGTGACAGAGCAGGGGCACTGAGACTCTGAGAGTCAAGTCCAGAACCAGGGAGCTCAGGGACAGGATCCCCGGGGCGGAGGGCAGGAGGAGCGGCCAGCACTCTTGGGCAGTGTCCCTGCATGGACAGGCCTGGGACCCTATGCCTGCCTTGGCTGCCTTTGCTGTGCTCGTTGACAGGGTGGCTGGACGCCATACCCCTGTGGTGATGTAACCTTGAACGCCAGGGAAGTGACCAAACTGCTTCTTCTTTTTTGCAGAGGTGCAAATGCGCCCGCAAGTGGGGCTGGAGAGCAGCAGGGCACACGGGATGGCTGTGACTTGGAGCTGGGAGTGTGGGGGACAGGGCAAAAGGCTGGGGACCCCCTGGCAGTTTGTGACAGTGACCGGCAGGGGTGGGATTGACAGGGCTGCTGGGGCCGCAAATTCGACCCAGCTTCAAGTTCCCAGCCAGGAGCTCTTTTGCACCCTCACCACTAGGAGGAGTAAGGGCTTCGTGCTTGCTAGGCAGGAGCTGGATCCAGCACCCGAGAGGCCTCTGATCCTTTCGCTCTGGTTATTTTGGAGATGGGGGTCTTGTTTTGGGGGAAGGCAGGCCTGGACTGCAATCCTATGTATATAGTACACTTCCCACAGTAGCTGGGATGATAGATGTACCACTAAACCCACCGATTGTTTGAGATGGGGTCTCTAACTTTTTGCCCTGGCTGGCCTCCATCCATCCACAACCCTCCCGATCTCAGCCACGTTAGTGGGATTACAGGCATGAGCCACTGGCGCCCAGCAGCGTTTTCCTTTTAGTCAGATGACACAGTTGTATTTGATGTGGCTTCAGATAGTCACTGAACCAATCATTTGTCCAAAGTTGAAATGGTGTCTAATGCTGACAGTTAAGAGAAACTGCTGTGAACATGTGGTGGTCCTCGTTTTTCTGTCCCGTCACAGATGGTGGATTTACCCGTATTCTCTCAGTCCGCTCACAATTGCTCTGTCACTTAGCGCTCTGTGACCTGGGCAAGTCACATACCCTCTGTGTGCCCCGTGTCCTCGTCCGTGGAAAGGAAGAAGGGAAGCATGGGTTCGTGTGACAGTAGGCGAGAGAAGGTGTGTGACGTGGTCAGAACGAGGTCTGGCACGCAGGAAGTACTCAACAAACAATGCCAGCTTTGCTTTTCCTGCAGTTACTCTTGGGTGTTTTTTCGGAGCTTGTGTTTGGTGGAAAGTCTTGCACGAGAAAAACTTTGTCACCGGGGAATTGCACGAGTTTTACTCCTTTCGCCCCCATCACCTCAGGGACTACCTCAACAACCAGGACCTCTGGAGCCAGTGCCTAGAGCCCCCCGACGTGGTCCCCTGGAACCTGACCCTCTTCTCCATCCTGCTGATCATCGGCGGAGTGCAGATGGTCCTCTGTGCCATCCAGGTGATCAACGGCCTCCTGGGCACCCTGTGCGGGGACTGCCAGTGCTGCGGCTGCTGCGGGGTGAGTGAGGGGGCAAAGCCGGGTGGAGGGTGGAGGGACGCCAAGTCAGGCCACCACGGGGGGCGCAAAGCCGGGTGGCACCTGTGGGCTCTGGGAACAGGGACATTGCACTGCCCTGCCCAGGCCGGAGCTGCCGTGCTGCTCGGCTCACATCCAGGTGGCCCTGGTCCTGGAGGCTGGACCCCACTCCTCACCTGGCACTTCCCGGGGACGTTTCTGTGACAATCTCAGGAATGAGCGCATGTCACACGGGCAATGTCAGCAGTGACATGTCACGTGTGGCCGGGGAGGCGCCCTCTGCCTCGGGTGAGAAGATGGAGCGCACAGGCCACACTCGAGGTGATGCCCCATCCAGAAAAGAGAACTGATGGGAGAAGGAAAGGAAGCCACGGAGGCCTGACCTGTCAGGCCTGTCACAAAATGTCAGCTACAACCGTAAAGCCAGAAACACGCAGGTAGGCAGAAAGACGGTGACCAAGTCAGACCAGGTCACAGGGAGCGTACACACTTTATCATAAAAGGACTCTCAAGTGTCCTCATTGGAGAGTTACGGGAATAAATTATCCGATCCACTTACTACTTAATAAGCTGATACGTTACATGAGTCAAATGATTTTATTTACGTTTTAGTAAGCATCGAATGCAGATAGCTCAAACACCGGACGTGCACAGAAACATAAAATTTTCACCGAGTCTCCCTCCTTTTGCCTTCCCTGCAGCCTCCCCTAAGGCCACTTTATCTTCTGCACCCCACAGGTCTTCATTGTCCTTTTCTTGGCACTATGGGGTTTGAGCTCAGGGCCACACTCTACCACTTGTCCCTCACCCCCAGCCCTTTTTTGCTTTACTTATTTTTTTTAAATAGGATCTCACACTTTTTGCCCAAGGCCAGCCTCAAATCGCAATCTCCCTACCTGCACTTTCTGCATAGCTTGGGTACAGATGTGCACCACTGTGCCTGGCTTGTTTGTTGAGATGGGGTGCTCACTAACTTTTTTGCCCAGGCTGCTTTCAAGCTGCAGTCTTCCTTTCTCTACCATCTCAAGTGGCTGAAATTACAGGTGTGAGCCACTATACCCAGCCTACTATTATTTTTTAAATTCTCCTTATCTTAAAAGACTACTCTTCCTAAAACTGTAATAATATTGAAAATACTTACGAAGTAGAGCTATTTGAAAAAGCTATCTGAAAAGAGCAGGATACTAACATTGCTCTGAACAGATTATTTTACAAAAATAAGAAGAAAAAAACCCACTGAGAATGAAAACAAGAAAAAAAACCTTAAAGGAAACGCGATCAAAATGGTAAATCTGAGTTGTTAATGATGTAAGACTGACTTGTTTCCTTGCCTCTCGCCTAAAATACTCCAACACAGTTGAGTAATCGATGCTGCTTTAAAACTCATAAAGCAGACAGGCAACACTCTCCCTCGGCCAGCGGTAAAATGAGTGCATTACAAGCTAATCACATATGTTGAATTTTTGTCCTGGAAGTTTTTGGTTCTCCTGCTTCTTTTTTTTGTAATTTTTTTCTCTCTAAGCATAATCCCAGGAGAGTGAGAGAACCAGTTGTAGCCGCCAAAATGTTTTTCTGACCGCCGTCAAGATTGATTTGATTTTTTTTTTTTTTTGGTGGTACTGGGGTTTGAACTCAGGGCCTCTGATTTGAAGCGGGCTGAGTCTGTTTCCAGCAGCCCGTGTGTTTTCTTTGCAAGCCCCATGGCAGCATGGTGGCTCTGAGTGGGTCACCACGGTTTACTAAATCCACAGCTTATCTGTCACCTTCAAACACACCCACAGGCAGCACCAGCCTGTGGGGTCCCTCGTTTCCTCAGACGCCTTCCTCAGGCCGAGTCAGTTGATGATGAAGGACAGAGTTCACGGTGTCCGTGGGCGGGCTCCAGGATCAGAGAGGGCGTCCAACGCAGCCACGACCACCAGCATCCTCCTTCTCCCCCGCCCTCCCCGCACCCCCATGACTTTTTACTTTGGAAACATCACATCTTCCTGCAGTGACCCAGGACAGGTCCCCTGTGCCCCTGGGATGCCAGCGCTTGACCCTGTCCCTTCCTGAGCCCTTGGAAAGTAGCAATGCGGCCTCTTTTCCCACAGGCAGCCGTCCTCTCCCCAGCCTCCACCCCAAACGCCTCTCGCCTGATTTAAAGAGAAGGTCACGGCCCTTGAATGCGGTGGTGACAAAGCGAAATTCAACTCGAGCCTTGGGGGCCAGGCAAATGCCTGTCAGGGGCTCTAAGGTGGCCGTCCGGGTGCCTCCCCCAGGGTGCTAGCCACATGTCCACTTCAACACTTAGACGGCCCAGCGAACAGATGCTGACGGTTATTTTCTAACAGTATGGGGTCTGGAAGGCAGCCTAGCATCAAGGAAAGGGTTCTGGGTTCGAATCCCAGCTCTCTATGTATTCATTGTGGCTTTCAACATAGCTCCTTCTCTCTGTGCCTCGAGCCAAGATCGTGTCAGATAATAAAAATCAAAAGATGCCCCATTCCTGTAACCTAAACACAGATAGCTCTGAGTCAAAGGCCGAGACGTGTAGAAACTGCGCAGCAGGGAGGGCAAGAGAGAGGAGGACAAAGCAGGACCAAAGAAGTGACCTCAGAATTAATTCACTTTTCTACCCCGCAGGGTGATGGACCAGTGTAACCGGCTGTGACAGCGCGTTTCTCTCCAGCAGTGGACGTGGACCTGGACGTGGACCTGGACGTGGGCGGCTCAGGAAGGGTGCCCTAGGCTTGCCCACCCCGCTGGGTTGATAATTCCAACCTGCTGCCTCCCTGGCAAAACTGGGGCAGCCCCCACCCCCATGTCCTTGCTCAAGGTAGAATTTTGTTATTTTCAAATAAAAATTAGTCTGGCCACAACCTAACAACTTTGATTTATAAGTCTTTCAAATTAGCTGCTTCTCAGAATTTAAGGACAGGGTCCAAGCAAATTTTTTCATGATTTTTTTTACCCTAAAAGAGTAAAGTGCATAAGCTCACTGCCATGCTGCTTGTTTGTATATAGAGACATTTCTATCTTTGGAAGCTTTACATAATTCAAAAAAACGAGAAACTTTTTAAAAGATTTATACGGACAGAGAATGATTGACGTGTCACAAGTGACTTCTGGGTGATGCTTTTTGTGTGATCTTCGCTGAGTTTCTTGTGCTCCTTTGTGTATATTAAATTAAAGTCTGAATTCAGAGGTGGTATAATAAAGATCGTGTGTGTTCTCGGGAGAGGCAAAAGACTTTTCTTTATCAACAAAACACGTGTTTAACAGAGTTGATTTGGAGAGTAATTTTGCGGCCTATTTCCCAGGATTAAGATAAAAGGTAGAATTAATTCTACACGTTATTTATTAAGAGTCAGGCGATAAAACGAAACCTCAACTCCACAACACACCAGCCTAGGCATCCTGGGAAAGTGAGGTTCTGCCTCAGTTTCCCCATGTGTAAGAGGACTGTTGAAAGACAATCACCCAGGAACTCTTGAAGTCAGCGGAGGGAGAAATGAAGACCTGTGTCACTGTCCCCCTGATTTATGAACAACATGAAGGATGTCACAGGGACTTGAGAGTCACAGTCTTCCTCCTACACCTGCCCAGCTGACAGATGGAACGGTGTAGGTTGGACACGCTGAAGACTGTGTTCCTAAGTCGCCAGCAAAGCAATTAACAGTCACCTACTGTGTGCTGGCCATGGAGGGGCCTTGCCCTGGCTATGGTTCTGTAAGAAGAACTCCATGACATGTCATTACACCTGGCACCTGAAGTCCGCTGGCGGCAGAAGGACGACAGACAGGCAGACAGCCCTTAGGACCTTTTGGGGCAACTATAGACACACACACACACACACACACACACACACGCTTCAATTCACTTTAGACCACTAATTCTCAAATGTAGCTGATTTCCAAAACCACCAATTACAGATTCCCAGCACAGACCCACTGCACGTGGACATCCAGGCACCAGGCATGATGTCCAGCACTTGTCAGCACCAGGTGACACTGGGAAGCAGCCACTCTGGGCCACCTTTGACTTCAATGGCAGCCTGCCAGGCCTGTAGCAGCCATCAGGAGCTCTGTCTTCTGATCAGCGTTCACACAGAGCATCCCGAGTCCTCAAGGTGGCCAGGTGATGTGTCCAGTCAGGCCTGGCTCACCCACCCAGGTGCGCTGGTGAAGAGACAGGGATGTGGAAAGGAGCCTTCAATTCCTCATGCCAGGGTTTTCATTGGCTCAGAATTTTAGAAAATACAAAAGATTTTCAGCCATCATCAAATCTGGTCTCATTATTTTATAAATGAAAGAACATGCTTCAAATCTAGGTTCACAAAACTAAGGGAAATAGGTGCCCACGCATCAGACGACTTAGAAAGAAGAGGCAGAAAAAGAAGGGTGAAGACGAGAGAACCTCTCTTGGGAACAGTCCCTGTGCGCACACACACCAAGGTTGGTGTTCAGACTTTCCAGAAACTTCTTTTCTAGAAGTAGCCTGCCTGAGTGCGTGGTAATTTCGGTACCCTCTGGACCACACATCTATGTGAGGTGAGGACAGCATCTGACTCAAGTCTACCCAGAGTGCCCCACACGGGGCCTAGCTGACAACAGGTGACTGATAAGTGAGTTTGAGTCCAGGATCCCAAAGCCCTGTTTTCATTCTCCACGCTGCCTGGGCCCTGAGACAGACGGATGGACGAGTAGAGAAGGCGGGTAGGAAGTAGGTGTGTCCTGAACCCGTGCTCTCAGGACCCAGAGCCTTGGGTGCACACATTAAAACTGTGTTTTCTACAGCTGTGTGGTGTCTACTGTGAGTGCACCCTGCTTTGGACCTGAGTCATTCTTAGGGTTTCTACTCCATCTCAGTTCTCAACGGGCCCATGAGCACAGAGCCAAAGGCCACTTGAAAGGAAATGGGGAAAGAGTAGGAAGAAAACATAAAACTAAATTATGTCAAAATATTACCCAGCTGCCCGCATATAGGTTGCTGCTGAGCCTGGCTGTTAGTGGTAACAGCAGGAGCAGGAGGAGAGAAGTTTGTGGATTTTTACCCAGACGCCAGCACACACAGTCATAAGCAAGACGTCATTGGAAGTGCTCGACAAAGTACAGGCAAGTGACACCAGCTCCCCTCCCGTCAAGCCCGGGTGGAGTCTGTCCAGGAGCAGAAGGAGCTAGGCTCTGAGCAGCCAGGGGAAGACAGGGCCGAGGATCCCCGGGTGGGCAAGAGACAAATGGCCAATTGGAATGTCTCGAGAAAGAGGCCATAGTGCCCCAACCTACAAAGACCCAGGTGGCAAAGGTATGACTGAAGACTCGGGGTCGATGGCTGAAAAGGAGCACACAAGGAGCACCACGACTTAGCAAATGGTGACAGGCTATGAACACGCATCTTAGAATCAAGTACTTGTAATAAAAAATAGCCCAAACCTTGGTAAGTCGCACACGTGAGCACTGAAGTGCCCCCTACCCACCCCAAGCTCACGCACTGAAGGCTTGATCCCTACCTTGCAATTTTGAAAGGCAGGGCCTAGCTGGAGCAGGTGGGTGACAGGGGCTGGGGGTGCCTCGAAGGTTGTACCTGCTCCCTCGGCTTTCTGTCCCCCATGAGGCAAGCAGCCTCTGCCACCTGCTCCCACTGTCACTATGCTCTGCCCTGCCGGGCTCAGGATCAGTGGAGTCAAGGATGTGACTGGGAGCCTCCTGTCCAGACAGTTCACAGCCTTCATTCCATTGTGGAGATCCACGACCCCAGGAAAACAGAGCCAGTGAGAATCGAATTTTACATGTAATGTTTGTGCTAAACGAGGTTTAGTAACTGACCCGTCACTCTTGGAGTGGTCCCAACAGCGTGTGTGCAAGTGTGTGCACGTCCCTGTGTGTGCATGTACCTGTGTGT